CTACGAAAAGGTCCGGGTTCGCAGACCGACACTCACCATTGGGCATTGATTTGCAGAGGGTCAAGCCAATTGGATGGTCGGTTCGGAAAAAATTTCGCCCTAAAATTGTCAGACTAGTGTACTGTCCTGACCCATCCCATTTTATTATGTTTCACTATTTCCTATTTTGAATTTTATTAGTCTATTGTAAGGTAGATAGTCTAATTCTAGAGAATTCCTCCGGTAGAATTTGGCTAACTCTTTCCCCCTCTCTTCGTCCACTCTCATTAAAATGCATGGTGCAGATTATTTGCCCAGGCCAAGACTTTTCGATGCCGACCCAAACTATCCTCAAACGATAGACGCTTACTTAGAATACTAATCACATTTTATTGACGGTCTGAGAATGCATCAGTAGGTGCTTTGATTCTGAAAAGACGCCTGGATTGTTGAGCGACACACTCAAAAGTTAAAACGAAATGCCTGCTTGTTATCTGTCATGGACGTGTAGGCAATGAGGTTGTCAAACCTTAAATTACTTCACTGGAAACCTGAGGACTTCGGAGGAAGATCGCACTGTTAGACATTTTACGGCAAAAATCGTAACAAGGGCATAATAGGTGTATGCGTCGGCGGCGGTTACTATAAAATACGTTTAACTTCTACACTTCAGGAAAGCATGTCGAGATTGGCATAAAGTTCGTCACGTTCTCTCAGTTGTTTCCTAATTGAACAAATTACCTACAGCCTATCACTACAAGACCTCGAAACCACACAAACATTGACGACAGTTTTGAGAAGAGATTCGTCATCCCTTTTCGCAGGGAATCATCAAACTTCTACCTTATAGAGGAGAAGGGGCGACGTTCGAATTCCCTGGTGATGATCAATTATGACAGCAAAAACTGAAAAGTTCATTATAACCAAACGATTGCGCGCTCCTTCAAGCACACCCCTTTTTCGGAACAGAAATCGCTGAACGAATAACGATGGGTGTAGCACTTTGAATCCTAAGATCTACTATCACCAAGTACCTGTCCAGACAGAAGGAAATTAATATAATCTCTTCGGGGCTAGCTAAAAATTTACATCAATTTTACCGAATTCTGTTTGGTGTGATCCAACGATATTATTACGCATGAGCACTTACGGACACTTAAATTTAAATATCGGTGCTATTAAACAAATAAAATGTTTTGTTTCATAGGAATACAAAGATTAGATGAAAAAACACTGTATTAAATAGGTACTCTAAAAGCTAGATGGAAAAACGAGACGCTGAGTTGTTCGCTTACTACCAACAAGAAATTTCTCATCTTAGAGATAAAATTAATATAGTAGCTAACCATAAGACGTGCCCTCAGTCGCTAGAGGTAAACGCTCTTAAAGGGAAATTACCGAAAGCCATTATCGGTATCATCTAGTATGAAAACCCGTCAAGTTGTTCAGAACGACCATTCAGACGTCTCTATCGCTATCACCTCGAACCGAAATGGTCAACCAGTGGCAGTATTTTACTTGGTCAACCCTACAGTGGGCAATTTATTTTCGATTTAGAAAGAGAAGTGTACGTCGTAGTCGAATCCATGCACGAACGAAAGCACTTTTTTCCTCATAATCATTTCAAAATCACCTAGAGTAGACTTTTTTTGCTCTTTTCTACGACAAGCAACAGGAGACAGCGAAGGACGACCAAACGTCACTTCAGGACTACTAGCTGTTACCAGTCAAATTCAGCGTTGCTTACCGAGATGCTAGTGAACGAGGGCCAGCAGCTCGCCTTCTGACAAATTCTTGGGTATTAATAGGGTAAAATGAGTACATGGCTCATTTTAATTATCTGCTTGGCACATTCGCACGTCTATGCCGATAAAGGCTAGCTTGTATATTAAGTTATGTTCCGCAGTTTTTGTGGGATGTGAATAACAACTAGTATGGGAACTCCTTACAGTCCCCCGATGGAACGGGCAAGCCGCGAATTTGGAACGCACTTAAGGGAAGACTTCCTTTCTTGCTCCGAGATATCCAAATTTGCATATCGCGCATTAGGAGTCCATCATACTCAGCAACTTGCACTCAAACAGACCACTGTTGTGTACTGCCACTGTTGCGATGATAAATGAAATCTCACGATCACTCTTTACGGCACACTTCTCCCTGCTGAGTTCAACTGGAAAAGGTATATAACGTATAGCAGTTTATCCACTCCAGTGGACCATCCGATTATTTACATATGGCTGGCTAGTGGAAAATAGAAAAACAGCATCCGCTAGACTGTGTGTTGCATAGAAAACGATCATGAGGATGATCAACAGGAGATGCCACATTTTAGATCGTAGAAGACAGATCGCTTTTTCTGACTACATCCAAAACAAAAAAAACTGTCAGTATCTGACTCATTTAACCGAACACAATGTAACATTGGCTCAGTTGTACTGATTAGCACACTGTAAGAGTGCTATTATCTTCTGGAAATGCACCTTCTGTGGTTGTGACTCTTTTATGTCGGCGAAAAGTTATCAAAAATTCGATCAAACTTATGAATAAAGTCAAAGGCCAAGAGCTATAGACTGCGATCTTGCGCCGACATTGTCAAAAGTGACAATGGCGTATTACTAGATGATTTGCCTCAATGATTTAACACCTGAGCTCGGTTAATGATTCCAAAATATGCGTAGGTGCGCCACTAAAGCCCACGACCACAGACCACGGCAGACGCGTCTTCGTCGCGTTCCCACCAGCTCTCACGGCGGCCAAGGTCTGCTACACCAATCTCC